CGGTCGTGGAAAGGAGTATCAAAATCAGTCTCACGACCGCCGAACAGATCATCAAAAAGGACTTTGCTTTAGATCCCGACGAGAATCATATGTGTGTCGCCGCACACTATCTGACCAGAAATCTGACGGCAGGTATGGCTATGATTACGTGCAAAGACCCCCTCTTTGTGTCGATCACAACGGCGTTAAAGAACGCATTCCTGAGTCGTTGTCAGGTCTCGAAGGAGTTGATCGACGCCACGGCCCACACCATCGCCACCGACAACATAGACCTCTGCTGTTGTTTCATACAGAAGACTGCTATTGAAAAGTCTTTGACAGAATTGGACCGAAAAATGAAGAATGAATACGAACTGAGACGGGAGGCCAGAGCTCAGGGCAGGCGCTACTGCGACCCAACTGTGCTGACGTACCAGGCCGAGAGAATGCCGGAAGCCATTCGCCTGAAGGTGGGTCCCGTCACTCCTCAGCAGATGAATGTATACGAAGAGTTGGGCAAAAATATCCCCGGATTTCAGTCTCCCATCTCTGATAATCCGAATGTCATATCGAACTCGAATTCAANGGGTCCCGTCACTCCTCAGCAGATGAATGTATACGAAGAGTTGGGCAAAAATATCCCCGGATTTCAGTCTCCCATCTCTGATAATCCGAATGTCATATCGAACTCGAATTCAAACCAACAATTGATTGGCTCATCGACTGCCGCATCATTCAAGCCGCCATCCAATATGACTGCGCTGTCCAACCAGAATGTGTCCAACAGTTTCGGCGCCCCTTCCGATGTCGGACCGCCCGTCTCGACCCAAGCGGCCGATGCGGTGCTCGTCACCATCTATGAGAAGCTGATGACCGAATTGGAGTCACTTATGCATCAATTCAGTCAAATCCAGAGCATGTCATCCGAATTGTTTGTCAATACTATCCGATCGATTGCTGAGATTCTACTACTGGCGCGACAGAACCCAAGGGATGTCATGTGTGCCCTCACGTTAATACAGAAGGTGTTAGAAGCCATTCACGAGCTCATGATGAATGTCGACCAGACAGGAGTGGCCGATATGCTAGTGATTGGTCGCGCGCGTGATCTGTATCTCGTTATCCTTAAGGCTCTGTCAGATCCTCGAGCTTTCACTCATCAGTGGACCACCAAACAGATCACTCGCTTAGTATTGGAGCGACTGTTTAGTTCATCGACAGGACCGGCACTACCGGACGAATTGCTGGAGATCTTAATCCGGGCCTCACTTATCAACTTCCAGATGATGGACATTCATTTGGCGCAACTCATTGAGAACACCCAAAACCCTGTGGCCCTGGCGTTCACTCTTCAGTTCATCAAAACATACGGCCATAGCTTCAGTGAAACCGATTTCCCCAACACTATCGAGAATCTGCTTCGTCTGAGTAAAGGCGCCGGACATCCATTGCTCGTCGAAATCCAGCAAATTGTTGACAGTCTTCGGGGGTCGCAGTCGGGATCCGTTGGCGTCAACAACGACGTGCCCTCGAGTATGGTCTCAATGCACGACTCAGTCAACCAGACGCGTCAGTTCGATGCCGACCCGCCCGGCCTTCTCGAGAAGACTGAACGACTTCTGCGCGAATGGATACAACTCTACCACTCGCAGGCGAATACCAGCAAAATATTCCAGTTCTACGTACAACAGATGAACCTCCAGGTGCTTTGCATTTGTCTTTATTTATTTAATTGCTAAATACTAACCAAATTAATCCCATTCTTAGGGTATCCTCAAGACTGATGACTTAATCACACGATTCTTCCGTTTGTCGACCGAAATGTGTGTCGAACTCTGCTATCGTATACTCAACGCCGCGGCACAGACTCCCGGCTCGTCCTAAAGGGCAAAAAAGTGGTCAAAAGTGGTCCAAACGATCACATATTCGTGTATTTCGCAGATCACGGCGCGCCCGGCCTTATAGCCTTCCCTAACGGAGAACTATACGCTAAAGATCTGAATAATGCTCTGAGAAATATGGCTCATCAGAAGAAGTTTAATAAAATGGCCGTTTATATTGAAGGTAACATTTAATCGCATTTTCTTACAATTACACAAAATTATACTTTTGTCGAGTTTTGAAAACCATCTTGAGTCATTTATTATATCATTACTCTTATCGGAGTATCGATACAATTAGTCAGAAAAAATTAATTTGAGTGCAATATATGATAGAATTTGTGTATTAAAGGACAACTAAATAGCAAAGAATTGTAGACTCAAAAAGACAATATATCTTACAGTTAAACCTTTCACAATCTAACTGTTAAAGTATCACAAATAGGAAGTGAATTGTGATTAACTTAATAACTCATAAATGTGTGAAATATGATAATTTGATAGACAACTAAATTGTCTCAAATACGATAAGTTTTCAATTCACTCAAAGAATACATTGATTTAAATAGAAATTTGGCTTATTTTGAAAGAATCCTATAGTGCGGGGAAGTAATAGCTTAAGAACTCAAAGTTACATACCGGTGCTATTAATTTCTCAATAACTATGTTACCATTAAATCACAGATTATGTCATTTATTCAAATTATCAAAACAGTTTATTTGATATATTTTTGTCTTGTTCAATATTTTACATCAAAATAAAATATAAATGACAAAATATATTTTAAATCTGAGATTAAATATAGTTTAAAACTAATTAATGACAAACATAATCAATATAGTGGATATGATTATTGTGAATATACAATATAGATATTTTAAAATTTATCTTTAATAACAAGGTTCTGTAAATTGAAACTATGATCACAAGACATTTCTACGCTATTGTGTGATATAGTGGTGAAGTCTTTATAGATCTTATTGTAGTCGTGTCTATAATATGAAAGTCTGAAGCATTAGACAGAAGCCTTCAATGCTGTGAATTTTCGGCACAAAATTTTTCAATAAAATATTTCAAGAATTTTTAAGGCAGTTTAGTTAGCATTTAATTAATATATCAGTAATTCATAAAAAAGTCATGAAATTTAATATTTACTACTTTAACAGTTAAGTTATGTCACGAATAATGAATTGTTTGCAATAATCTACTGTACAGTATCTAATATCTAATAGTTGTTCATTATTTTATTGATTGCAATTATGGTATATTTTATTTATTAATAAAACCATAACTTATGTTTCGTAATTTAATATCTACTTTATTTTAGGATATTAATTGAGTTAAATATGCTTTTCGCACGCTTTCACCAAGTTACAAAAGGCCTAATGAAGGTTTGTTATAGTTATAGAAGCGCTGCTGACGGCCCAACTCTACGGAATCGAGTTATGCCTGTTATTACGATGACGTGCGGGAGACCTATTTGGGTGATGTCTATTCAGTCAATTGGATTGAAGACAGTGATGCCAGACATTCACTCACAGGAGAGACATTACAGCAACAATTCAAACGAGTCTTGGTCGAGACAAACACATCCCACGTCAAGGAATTTGGGGACAAAAGCATTGGACGGATCAGTTTGAGTCAATTCCAGGGCTCCAAGACTTACAACAAGACTTACGATGGAAAGGTAGTCATAACGGATGCCGTAGCGAGCGGTGATGTGCCCATTGCTATCGCATACAAACGACTTAATACACATCAAACTGAAGAGCAAAAGTTTGTCAATCAATTCAAATACGAAGAGTTATTGAGGGCTCGAAATTTTCTCATCAATTCTGTCAAACATTTGATCCGCGAATTGGAAGTGAAGTTCGTGTCCGTCGACAGTATTTGGAGCGATAAGAAAGAGCTGACAAATCATGACTGCTATACCGATTTGATCCATCAGTTTGATAATCACTGCTTCGATCTCTCGACACATCCTTTTGCGCTCAGATTTCTCTATGTCTTCGTTAATATCTGCGAGACTTTGGAGAATAGAAACTTAGGAAACGTTCACATCATTGAGAATTGGATTTCACGTTAACAAGCGGTGACAAGACAAGTATAGTTACCTGTAGGTAAGTTTGTCTAAGATACTTACGGAATTGGTAACTAAAGTTTATACTATTCTAAAACAAGTATTTAGTTAAATAAACTATAGAGTATTAAATTATAAAAGTTACACAATAAATCAGTCAAACATTTGTTAAAATTTATCAATTAAATTGTGAAGTTAATACAGTTAATAAGTTATTAATAAGTGAAGTTTGGGAAATAAGCAATTGAATATTTGATAATTTAAGTTCAATATTCTTTGATAAACAATTTACTTAAACAAAGATTTAAAATTTAATTGCCATTCAAAAATATTAGCAAAACACGTTCAAATGGATAATTCTCAGGTTCCATATGATTCTGACTGTGAAACCGTGTTTATATTGATTTAGAAGTCTTATCTGATATCATGTTTATTATTATTAATTGTATTTAAATTTAAATAAAAATCACATCTTATTATGAAATATAAATTCTGCAAATTTACTCTGTATCAATACATGAATTTTTCAAAATTCAATATAATACCAAAAATAAATTCAGTAAATTTAATATCCATACGGTGGTTATTGGGTAATAAATAACTATTAGATCAACCAAATTAAATAATAAACTTTTCCTTAAAAAATAATATGAATCTTTAAATTAATAAACAATTTGTTACAAAATTAACATCAAATAAATACATTCAAAATATATATTAAACGTCAGTTTCTAATTTCTAATTCGTAATTAAATTAATTTTCAAGTGTTAGTTAAACCTCATTAAACATGAGACCAGTTTAAAACATTGTCAGATACTTTCATAAACATCTAAAAATATGTAAGAATTACCTAATAGTGTGAAATTAAATCTTGTAAATTGTAATTTATGCTTTCAGTACAGGGTAATACATCTGGAGTTGACTACTATACCAGTAATATCATAGGGAGAAGATTTTTATAATTATAGATAGATTTATAATCACTAACTAATTAAGTAATCATTGAAAACAAATCACAACTAAATTATCATTCATTGAACAGAACTTCTATTAGAAGACAATCTATAAGAGCTTTATCGACAACTATACAGAAATCTTTGTTTATAGTTAATCGCCAGTTAGTTAACCCTTATGAAACTTCAAATGTCTTGAAAAATACCCTTGAGGTCAGGTCGGCAACCGTGAGTCATAATGTATAAGTAATTTGCTTGCATTGGGAACACCTTTTAGTGGGCTTATTGTCACCACAAGTGCCACAAACAAGACTCTCATCATTAAACCCTTTCTGACCGTTGATGGCCTGCGAGAGGATGGATATAGCGCTGGGCTCTGACCCGATCTCAACGGTCGATAGGGTTCTGATGAGCTGTTGGAAGAGAGCGCTCTCGTGGTGCGGATACTCACGAATACTTTGCCGCAACAACTGCTCCAGAAATACGGGAAATCCGTCGCTTTCTCGCGACTTCAACCACGACTTCAACAGCAGTTCCAGTTTCTTAATGCCTTCCTCTTTGGTTTGTTTGCTATCTTTGTCGTGATGTTTGAGTAGATGTTTGAGTGAATGTCTCAACAGAAAAGCCAAATAATGTATTTTCATTGAAATCATTTCGTTTTGTTTGTCTTTCAGCTGTTTCTCGCAAATCAATTCCAAGACTTTAATCATTTTATTGCCGTTTTCTATAAGAATCCAATTGTTCTTCAGAAACAATCCGATTCTTATCGGATGAATGTTTGTCTGTCTGACCAATGCGTGCAATGGAGACACCAATCGGCCGGTGATCATGGGTTCCGTTTCCAGACCGTGGATTCTCGTGTAGTACTCAATGTCTTGTCTGCGGATGAAGTTATTAATGATAGCGACGGCCGAGTGTTGGCCAACGAAAGCCGCCATTTGTGCGGCGTTTCTGTTGACTGAATTGATGGCATCGATGTTGGCGTCCGACTCCAGCAACAGACTCACCACCGATTCGTGACCTCCCAGTGCGGCGAACATGAGAGCGGTGTAGCCCTGGATCTGTTGGCTGTGGTTCACATCAGCGCCCCTTTCGATGAGATACTCGCAGATCCGGTCATTGCCTTTATAGGCCGAGTGCTGCAGACCTGTCATCCCATTATCATCGCAGCAGTCGATCCGGACATCGCTCTCATTCAGCAATTGCTTCACTTCTTCCAAATTGTTTTCGCATATCTTAGAAATCAAGAGCTTCTCGTTTGCCGTCAAATCACTCATTGGTTCCGTCCGTCGATTTGAGCCAAAGATATATTAATAAACCATTCAAAGTTAGCTAAACAAACAACAAATGTTAGTATTGTTTGGTTTGTAACCGAAGTTAATGCAGGTATATAACGTGTGTTGAAGCGTTTGTAAAGTAGGTTAAACTGGTGAGTAAACTAGTGAGTAAACTATATTACAACACTAATTGTAACTCATTTCATGACAAAAACTTATAACAATTGTATTCATTCGTTATATTTGATCCAACAATCAGTTTTAGACCAATATCTTAGACTTAAGTATGGCTATCATGTGATGAACGCCTAAAGCCTGTAGACCTAGAGTTGTTGTCTTCACTACGGTTTCTGTCAGTCTTTGGATCTATGGCTGATTAGAGCCGACGATCACAAACAATGGTGACAATTATGATAATTGTTTGACATAAGGGAGCATTAGATGACTAATAGTATTCAAAGATTTCTAACTCAATGGTATCAATGACTTCAAAATATCAGATTTGATATTACAGTCAATTAAAATAATATCAAACAAAATAATTAAAGATAATTAAAATTTAATATTTTAATCAAAACTATTTTACATAGATATACAATATATAATTATAAGGTTTAATAATATTAATAAAAGTAATTATAATAATAGTCATAAACATGTCAATCATTAGCAAATATTAAAAGTATACACATTATCTGACTTTAGAAATGATTTTAATAGTAATTGAATCGTAATTTTAGGTCATTTGATTGGATTGAGTGATGCTGGAGTCGGCAGTGGAGGGCCCGGTGCCAGCAGTTCCTCTATGAGTGGCCCCATTGCAAGAACGGGCGACGCTTTCAAACAATCTGTTGACAAACGAGTTAATTATGAATAAATCATTGAAGCAAATAACATGCAAATCAATTACTTCTCGATTTCTGGGGCACATCTGACGAACTCGTGGTTCCAGAACTTGAACGACGGGTTTTTAATTAACTCAATGAATGTCACTAATAGGCCCCACGGGTGCGGACGGTTGACAATGAGGCGCTCCAATAAGACGCGAGTGATTTGCTCCTGAATTGCTTCGGTGTTGGATTCGGCGAACAGATAGAGTAGAGTACAGCTGAAGTAATGGGTGTGAGAGTTGGGATAACGCAACTGATTGGCGATAGCGTTCAGGAATAGATAGCGACCTGTTTTGCAACAATTAAATGCCATTCGTTTAGTAAAACATGATTCCCAGACATCACACAATCAGAGACTAACCTTCAGTGTCGAGAGCGACCGCAAGATTTTGAAAGATATCCATATGTGACGAATGGGCTATCGATGACATACTGATACTCTTCGGTGGGATCGACTGAATAGCTGTTTGGCCGACATATAGCACCAAACCATTGATTAATGGGATGTTATAGTGAACTAAATCTGTGCTATTGTTTGGAGCTGTTTGCTGAAGATATCCGCGCAAATCACTCAAGAAAGTGACGGGACTTCTCGTGCGTAGATATGAGTCCAAGTCCTTCTTGAAGACCTGAGTGCCGAATGTGGTCAGAGTGGTTGACCCGCGCGGGGGTTGACTTATTTCCGGCAACGTATCGATCTTCAGATTAGGAGTGAATGGGTCGGGAAGTCTCATATTGCGAGGGAATGCACTCAGAACTAGATTTCGCATTTGGATGGCATTACACGGTATGACATCACATAAACCATAGCAATACTCGCACAAGAATTCCGGGAAGTCGTGTAACAGAACCAAAAAGACTTTCAGTGTTCCCTAAATTAGTTTAAACAAATGTGTGTTAAGAGAGCCAAGCCATAGACAAGACATTGATAGACAAGTGGTTGAGACTTACTTTATAGAGAGAGTCCATAGATTGAGGCAATTCTACATTCCGAAGGAATGGTGCCTCGAATTTGATTAAGTCGACCAACAGTTGGGCGTACATTTGCCAGCCCTTAGTGGGAGTGCCGGAGTTGATGGCACCGGACAGCAGACATTTCTCCATAAAAGTGCGGTGACTAATGAAGTCAAGCCATGCGAACGAGAATGACGGCGCTTTAGAGGGTCGCAATATGTGGAGTGTATTACAGAAAGCGGTCAACACTTGATATTGAATCGATTCAAGCAATGGGTCCAACTGTGAGGGGTTGAGCCCTAATCCCATTTGGTTGTGCTGTAGAAGTACAGAGCCGGGCAGTCCCAAGTTGGTGGGTCCTAACACTAACTCCATGAACAGTAAGACAAATATACGATAATATGGCAGATGTTGGAAGTCTGCTTGTCTTATGTCCTGGTCCTGAGTGGCCACACCTGCGATGATATTCAGCACTTTGTTCAACAGATTAAGTTTGGCGGTCGTCTCGGAGGCGGCGCCCGATGCGGCCGTTGATGAGCCGCTGTGTTTGACGAGCATTACAATCAAGTGTGTGAACGCATCCAATGTATGGAAGCATTTGGAGCGCACGTCGATTATGTTGGACGAGCCGGGAGTCTGTGCCGCGGCGTTGAGTATACGATAGCAGAGTTCGACACACATTTCGGTCGACAAACGGAAGAATCGTGTGATTAAGTCATCAGTCTTGAGGATACCCTAAGAATGGGATCAATTTGTTTAGTATTTAGCAATTAAATAAATGATGACAAACGCAAAGCACCTGGAGGTTCATCTGTTGGACGTAGAACTGGAATATTTTGCTGGTATTCGCCTGCGAGTGGTAGAGTTGTATCCATTCGCGCAGAAGTCGTTCAGTCTTCTCGAGAAGGCCGGGCGGGTCGGCATCAAACTGACGGGTCTGGTTGACTGAGTCGTGCATTGAGACCATACTCGAGGGCACGTCGTTGTTGACGCCAACGGATCCCGACTGTGACCCCCGAAGACTGTCAACAATTTGCTGGATTTCGACGAGCAATGGATGTCCAGCGCCTTTACTCAGACGAAGCAGATTCTCGATAGTGTTGGGGAAATCGGTTTCACTGAAGTTATGGCCGTATATTTTGATGAACTGAAGAGTGAACGCGAGGGCCACAGGGTTTTGGGTGTTCTCAATGAGTTGCGCCAAATGAATGTCCATCATCTGGAAGTTGATAAGTGAGGCCCGGATTAAGATCTCCAGCAATTCGTCCGGTAGTGCCGGTCCTGTGGATGAACTAAACAGTCGCTCCAATACTAAGCGAGTGATCTGTTTGGTGGTCCACTGATGAGTGAAAGCTCGATGATCTGACAGAGCCTTAAGGATAACGAGATACAGATCACGCGCGCGACCAATCACTAGCATATCGGCCACTCCTGTCTGGTCGACATTCATCATGAGCTCGTGAATGGCTTCCAACACCTTCTGTATTAACGTGAGGGCACACATGACATCTCTTGGGTTCTGTCGCGCCAGTAGTAGAATCTCAGCAATCGATCGGATAGTGTTGACAAACAATTCGGATGACATGCTCTGGATTTGACTGAATTGATGCATAAGTGACTCCAATTCGGTCATCAGCTTCTCATAGATGGTGACGAGCGCCGCATCGGCCGCTTGGGTCGAGACGGGCGGTCCGACATCGGAAGGGGCGCCGAAACTGTTGGACACATTCTGGTTGGAGAGCGCAGTCATATTGGATGGCGGCTTGAATGATGCGGCAGTCGATGAGCCAATCAATTGTTGGTTTGAATTCGAGTTCGATATGACATTCGGATTATCAGAGATGGGAGACTGAAATCCGGGGATATTAGCGCAGTCATATTGGATGGCGGCTTGAATGATGCGGCAGTCGATGAGCCAATCAATTGTTGGTTTGAATTCGAGTTCGATATGACATTCGGATTATCAGAGATGGGAGACTGAAATCCGGGGATATTTTTGCCCAACTCTTCGTATACATTCATCTGCTGAGGAGTGACGGGACCCACCTTCAGGCGAATCGCTTCCGGCATTCTCTCGGCCTGGTATGTCAGCACAGTTGGGTCGCAGTAGCGCCTGCCCTGAGCTCTGGCCTCCCGTCTCAGTTCGTATTCATTCTTCATTTTTCGGTCCAATTCTGTCAAAGACTTTTCGATAGCAGTCTTCTGTATGAAACAACAACAGAGGTCTATGTTGTCGGTGGCGATGGTGTGGGCCGTGGCGTCAATCAACTCCTTCGAGATCTGACATCGACTCAGGAATGCGTTCTTTAACGCCGTTGTGATCGACACAAAGAGGGGGTCTTTGCACGTAATCATAGCCATACCTGCGGTCAGATTTCTGGTCAGATAGTGTGCGGCGACACACATATGATTCTCGTCGGGATCTAAAGCAAAGTCCTTTTTGATGATCTGTTCGGCGGTCGTGAGACTGATTTTGATACTCCTTTCCACGACCGGAACAATCCATTCCTGAACTGCTCTCTCAATGGCCGGTCGGACCAGTTGTTTGAGCGCCGGATTCAGAGTCAGTAGCTGTAGATTGGGTTGAATGACGACGTGTTGTGAGAGACCACTCGTGCTGTTGACGTTAATGTCGTGATAGTTGAAGAGTTGCATTCCGGGGGACTGAGTGCCCACAGTAGGTGTTGGGATGGATTGCTGGGGTATAATTGGCATCTGTGGCGGCGGTACCATAGACGGCATGTTACGGGATGGCGGGGATGTCAGGTGACGGGGTATAAGAATGGGCTCACTTTGCGAAGCGAGTGTAGTTTGCGGCTGAAGTACTGGTTGTGAGACCTTACCTCCGCCTCCCAATTGGTTATCGATTTTGGTGTATAAATCACTCTTCAGGACATTTGATTTGCCGATCAATGTATTGATGTCTATATTAAGCGTTTTGCACAACACTTCGACCTCGAACTTGAGATTGAGTTTAATGTTGGGCTCCTGATGCAGTTCCACCAGTCCTTTGATTATAGCCATAGTCCACGGGTTGGGCGGTTTAAACACTCGAGACTTGGCACAACTCTCCAAAATCTTAGCAATGAACGGAACGATGTATAAGAGCTCTTGAGTTCCCCTCTGATACGCCTCCACCAGAAGGTTCTTGAGCTCCAGGTCTTGACTGAGAATGGGCTTACTCTTGGCGAGTGTCAACATCCCTAACCAATGGCCTAAGTTCTTGAGTAGAGAGCGGTCACTGAAGTTCGCGATCTCTTTATCACTGCCGAGAAGGACTTTAATGTTGCGGTGCGTCTCCTTTAAGACAATTCGCGTCAATTCACACATTTTCAACACATCCACGAAATTGGCGTAAAGGGCGTGAAAGTTGGGTTCAATGGACGCCCTCTTCATCACTAAGTACTGTGCGATCCAATCGTTGTATTGATCGTCGTTTCCAATCGCTTCCCTAAACTCATCGGTTTTGTGCGCGAGATTTAGTTGCGATAAATTGTTTATAATAAACGCAATCTTGTCCTGAATGGCATCGGGAGGCACGGCATACATGGTTTCGCCGGCGGCCAACAGTGTGTCGATGTTTGTCGCGTTTGCGATCGAAGGCCGCGAATTGCTTGCCGTCGATATGACTGAAGAGGAAGCCGTAGTGATTGCAGTACTCGTTGTGGTAATTGCAGGGCTCATAGAAGTCGTGTTGTTGGCAACGATGGGCGGCTGAACCACACGTGATGTCGATATGTTGTTCGAGTTGGTGGTGAGGTTTAGTCCGGAACCCATTGTTAGGTTTGCGCTCAACTGAGGCAACGCTGATGAGAGACCAGAGTTTGGGACTGGAGTGGAGCCAACGATGGAAGGCATGCCTACCGGTGTTTGAGATGAGTTGACACTATTCCTCATTGATGGCGGCATCGACTGAGTGCTGCACTCAATGTATTCGATGAGATGGGCCGGAAAGTCACGGAAATGAGGGATTTGTGCCAAATGTTGGCAATAGAGGGGATAGTCTTTGAGTTTGGACTTAAACCTGTCGAGCGCGGCGATGCCAAAGAAGTACATTTTACTGCCGTGTGGTTTGCGCAGCGCCTCCAACACGTACCGGAGCGCCACCACCAGAGCCATGTACTTGACTAAACCCATTTGGATTATACCGCCAAACAGTTGGGCAGTGATCAAGAGCTCTCTGTCGGGGTATTGCGGGAAAAAGCCGTACTCTTTGAAGAGGTTGCGGATCATACACGTGAACACTTCACGCTCTCTCCGCGCATCCGAGTCCTGGAAGCGTCGAAGCATATCAAGCACTTCATCGATGGTTAGACTTCCAGACTGTTGCTGATTGTATATGCGTTGGAAGTAAGTGTCGGCCTCTTCTTCGATGTCAATACTGACGTTGTGCTGCATATCCGGGAAAATTCGCGCCAAATTGGTGGTCAAGTCTCCCATTTGGTCGACGCCCTGTTGGCCGGCATTCACTGCATTATTGTTCGCATTTTGTTGTGAACCCAAACCAATCGGATTGAAACCCGACGGTCGCACTGATGAAGAGAGCGCTTCAGTAGTTTGACTGATGTTTAAACCACTGATTCCGAGATCACCGATCGATGACTGAGTAGAGAGTTGGGGCAGATTTGAACGGATAGGAGGGTTGGGCGGACCTATGGTGGGCAGAGCGCCGGGAGGGCCCTGACGCGGCAGTTTAGATATAAGACGAGTCGAGTTGGCAACCATTGTTAGGATGGCGTCATTGATCTCTTGAGACATCGCTGAGACAGATGTGATGGCACCAGAAGACGGAGAGCCGGTGTTACTGATGGCCTGTTGCAGACACGACAACATTGTGGCCAACGTCTCGGCCGGTAATGTAGTCATGTTAGCGGCCGACTCAGACAGAGGTGATGTGCCCAACAGTGCCGGACACCGACGGTTCAGAAACATAATGCACGCGTTCACGAATGGCTCGCCGTTGCACTCAATTTTATCTTTAAGCCATTTGTCGAGCTTTAAGTACTCGCGCCGTGAGGCCAGACATGCCAAGTCTATCACAAATGGATAACAGTTGCCGTTCAGGAGAATACTGAGCGCTTTGAGGTCTTGGGCCACATCCAGAATACGGGACAGTCGTTGTTGTTGCTCCTCGTGTGGGGACTTAATATAGTACTCACACATCGCGGACAGTAGTATCTGTTTCGCCCAATTGTTTGTATTCTGTGTCACATTTGGCGTCAATTCATTGGTATTCCATATCGTGTGCAGAATTATGGCAGCGTTCGCGTGATTGCCGAGGAATACAGGTATCGCCAGACCTAACAATTCGCTTTTGATGCCAGAGGAGGGCCCGTCACGACAGCCCAAGAGTCCGAGCGCCACCAGATCGGGGCACTGCTGTAGTGGTGATTTGAATAACTCCATGACTTGCGAGTAAAATATTGAACTCATGTTCATCTGTCCGGACATAGAGTTGTAATTCATTGAACAAAAGTCGACTAATATTTGGTAGAATCGCTGATATTTCCAAGAGTTTAGTTCGGGAGTTGTCTCAAAGTCTGGCTGACATTTCAACACATCCAGGTGCGGCACTAATTGGTCAATAGTCGATTCACTACCTCCAGGTCCCGGCCCTGTGGGCGCACTCGACAGCATTTTGGCGATGTAAATGTTTTTAATGCACTGAACTATGAAACCAAACTGAAACTCAATATTATTTGTCCACAACTTTTGGAAAAAAGTTACGCCCAATACGGACACTCCTGTGGGACAGATAGGTGTTAAACAAACACACATTAGATATCGTTATACAGTAATTGTAAACAATTTAATATCAATACCTTGTTTATCAGTTGTACACAAATTGGTGCAAAATTGCCAAAAGCGATGGAAAGCGTATTGGCTTTTATTGAACGATTGGTTGCCAAACATATTCTTAGCGTTTTGCACAAACACTTCATTGTCTATCACTTGTATTATTTCAGTCAATGGAGAGGCGGATGACATGATCTCACGACAAATATCCGCAAATGTGTCGATCTCTTCACAGCGCGGCTGACCAGAGGGTTGGCCATCGATGGCACGGATTTGCGAGTTCTCGCATATGGAGCACAAGATTTTTGCGCACAGTTTTGGTGTCACATTGAATTGCTGGACAACCTCTGCGGTCAGTGAAACACCACTTTCGTTGACAATCATACCGGCGATCTGGTCGTCGGTCAGATTGGCCGCACTCGACGCCAACGATAGGACATCCATTTGGCTGATGGACACCGACTCAACGAAAGGCAAATGCAATAAATTCACAGATTTTGAGATCGACTTCTCGTTGAGTTTCAAATCTATTGATCCAATAAAATAAGCAAATCATTAATACCAATATAACGGTATCGCAAACACTGCTATCATACTTTTGGTCAAACTTTGAGACAAAGACTTGTTATCAGTGTTTGTCTTAGCGATGATATAATGGGTTAACTCATTCAAAGAGTGCGAGTCACAGTCGAGCGACAACTGATCCAAGAGGTCTGAGGACACCGGACACGACTGAGTCTTGTCTGTGAGCGCCACCAGGAAAGCGGCCCTTTGGTTATCATTCAGTTTAAGAGCAGTGCATATCTCGGACACATTGATGGCAACGATGCCCTTAAGAGCGCAATCAATAAGTGTTATCCAATGGGCGGACGAGAAGAGGTCTAAATCGGTGAACAACTGCTGCAATAAATGGATTTTCTGCGAATCACTCGTTGATGTGATGCTCAACAGAAGGCACCGATATATCTGTCGCTCGCATTCAAAGCCAAACTGTTTGATCAACTGATCCCAAGAGAAAGTCAGAGATAATAAGTGAAGTGTTAAGAATGGCGACTAATAGCGAGACAATTAGTGCAGACAAATGATGCAAACCTTGAGCAGATGGTAGAGCTGTGTCTTATAATGTCTTTTGTTTATATCAACAGTAATGGTAGCGTTGATGGCATTAATGGCAGCCGAGAGTGAGTCCAATGAGTCCATACATGAGGTCTTCATTATGAAAACTCGTACCGAAACAGCGATTCATTATTCGGGTTCGCATTCATTCACTCAAATCGGATGGCCGTCCGGCACTGGCACTACACCACTGATGACACACTTGACACACTTGTCGACACTGTCTCAATGGTCTGGAAGTGTTGACGAAATGTCTTGTCTGTATTGCGCGTAATGGCGAACACAAAGAGCTATGAATACGACTGTAATGTAGTGTTCAATGCATTCATATGACTGTGACTTCACTCCATGAACAGCATAGCACTCAATGGTATTCAATACAAGAGCATACACTCACATACACTCACACATTACGTTCACTCAGTCTCTCACTATTCTCTCCAATACAGTACTCTCACTGTTGCTCATCATTACGACATACAAACCTATGACTAATTGCTTTCATAGACACATCCATTCATTCAATTCAATGTTGAGACACTTTTAGTCATTATTACAATTCATAACCAAAAGCTTGCAATAAGTGAGTCGTTTGATAGGACATGTTTATTCAGTTATTTTTCCATGTTCATATACCAGTAGGAAACTTATCATAATTGTCTAACTTGTTGAAAACAATATAGCCTTGATAATTAGTACCAGGCAGATACTATTCACATTTAACACCTACTACCTAATAAAAACTAAATATTAAGTAAAACTAAACACCAGAATATGATTACATTTGTAGTACAGAATCTGTACTTTTCTGAAATTCAATTCCTTGAATATAAAGTTTATGTCGCGAATGTGATCCGGGTAATAGAATAACTGTTTGTAAAACAGATTTCAAGTCCGAGTTAATGAATAACTCATTCAAATAGTGTTAAAATTTATTGAAAGAAATACAAATTAAATTTAAATGAATATTAAATACAACACAAACAACACTACAGTCTTTAGCTCTTATTCTGAGGTTTTTTGCTCTTCGAGTCGGACTCTGAATCCTTCTTCTCGTGTCCCTCTTTCGAGTCTTTGGCGTCCTTTTCAGACGTCGAGTCTTTGCTGTCCTTTTTGGCGTCTTTCGGTTGGTTCTCCTTCTTCTCTGCGTCTCTGTTTGTGATCTTATTATTGATGAGATTATGCAAAGCAATCACCGATCGGACCAAAGCCGCCAAATAGACGACAAGCATCTGGTCGTTGGTCTTAACGAAAGTCGATTTGACAAACAATTCGTTGGAAGTGTTGGGCAACAGATTGAAGATGTCTTGGAGTAAGTAAATGATCGGATGATTGATCGGCAGTTTGTTGTTGACCACGAGATCCAAATACTTGCGAATCGAGTCGATCTGCGACTCAAGACCTCTGAGACCCATCAACTGATTGGTCACTCTCTGAGACAAAGTGCCTAAAGTGGTGTCTTTGATGTCGCGCAACAGGTGCTCAACGCCTACTTCTTCGGCCTCTTCGGCACCGATTTCGCTCAACACGTGCTCGAAGGTCTTGGATGTGGGCGAGCCGTCGTCGTGAACCTCTTCGACGGCAATGTAGGCCTCCGTGGGAAGCCCTAAATCTCTGGGCTTGGCGTCGATGATCACCAGAACTGAATTGTGGCAATACTTGCGGATGAGTTCGTTGACGGAGATGTCGTTTTGGTTGAGTTTGGGTCCCGTGTGATACCAGCCGACGATCCTCTCCTTCGCGTTCACCTTCTTGAACATGGCGTACATGTGCTCGAGATAGTCGTGGTCTAAGAACCACACACTCCGGTCCTTCTCGTCCTCATCGAACGGCACTATCCGTACAACACATCCATCAGTCCATCAATGAGTCAAACAATCAAATGAATGGCAAATACCGGCAAAACTGTTGGAGATGTCGAGAATGCCTTTGGCTTTGAGTGACCCCAAGAGGATGCCCACCACTCGCTTCTGGTTCCCGATTTTGCCCATTCGGTTGAAGTGGTCCACCACTGACAGCAGTACCAGTGGGTGCACCACCACCTTAGTCACCGCCAACTCGTGCACTGTCACCGCCACAGACACCTCCTGTGAGGTCGAGCTCAACACCTTCACCCCTCCCGCGTCCTTCTTATCCATCACTTCCGTTGTAGAGTGAGAGAGAGAGAGAGAGAGAGAGAGAGTCCGATCACTGGTAAAGAGCACGCAATGCGGTTGTGATGAGAAATCAATCATTTTTTTGTCACTTTAATTGTAAATTTTCGTTTCATTTTTATGCATTCAATGCTAACATTTAAATTAATATTAGACTCTATTCTTAACGAGTCAACCGATTGTCAGTTTGTTTTGCATTTATTGTGTCTGATTTTGACTTTTACGCTAAATTCACACTATTTTTAACGAATTTTGTTTTTGTAATTAAACTCAATTTTAAATACAAAAACATGTCTCAATTTTTTAAAATTTTATTAAAACAGTCATTTGGTAATCTCATTAAAAGTTTCTAATAGTTTTAATCTTATTTTTAAAAATAATTTTAATTAATATTATATTTACTCTGAATTTAAATTTATTTTTTTTGTAAACAACATAACATAAATTAATTATCCAAATAACATTTATTATGTTATTAACATAAATTTATAAAAAAATTTAAAAAAAACTTTTCCTTTAAATTTTGAATACATAAATGTCATATAATATAAGATTTTGTTTTTCTAATAATGACATAAATTCTTGACTTATTTGTAAGTAGTATAATAGCAAATATAAATTCTTGTATTTATCCATTAATTGAACACTCAATCATAGGATTTGTCTCATGTTTTCATTTAGTTTCTATTTATCATTCAATTACATATTTGTCTCTTTCTCAACACATTATAAATACAATATTTCAGATATTTTATTTAAATTGATTGAGTAAATATAAAATTTATCATATGTTTATTAATATGAATATTGTACAGATACTTTATCTATTTAATATACGAATGAATTAATTTTTCAATCACTTAACGCTGGATTAACTGGAAATTTTTAAGTTTTAAAGTATAGTATCAAATATAAATCCAGGTTTTTTACCATATAATAAGCTACAGCATGATCTAACACAGTAAGTATAAAGTTATATAACATCTGTGTAGCAATCACTAATTTTTAATGAGTAATCATCAACAACAAAAAATGTGATACATTTGAAAGTAAGTCTTTTGGGAAAATTTTTAGGAAACATCTCTCATCCCTGCGCTGCTCTTTATATAATTAATACTTTTGAAAACTCTTTGAGCCGTACTATAAATGTTTTGCTTAACTATTCTTTAAATATCTTAATTTACATGTGAGTATAAAAACAAAAATACTTGATTGCGAGTCAGTATCAAATATTTACCAAATAAAAAGTTTTATTGGATTTGCATTTAATAGTATTAATTCAAATTAAAAAACTTTTTAAATTAATTGTTCTTTTCATTTGAAGTAAGAGAACATTTTGATGGAAATTTAACTTAACTTTTGAGACATTACTAAATGTAAAGAGAGTTTGCATTTTTGTTTAACTAATTTAAAGCTAACTTTTTTGCTAATAAGTAATTCTACTTTTCATTGAATTGATTGCATTAACAGATGATATGTTTGTTTTTAGCACTGATTTTGAAAGCACTCATACACTCTATACGATACGACACTATATTGGAAAATGTGTTCAACATTGAAGTGATGGCAGGTATTGTAGTGTAGAAAGAGATAAACTTTTGCTAAACATAATTGTGAAGACATTAACGCCTTTGTGCTCCACGAGCTGTGTGTCGGTGCTGTCAGATTGCATATAATGGAGACCTGATTGGGAGGCATTACTGGGTCGGTATCATTGGGAATAGGGTTCAACTGATTCCAGCAGTTATACAGTTATATCACTCATTCTTTTTAAGTAGTAATAAAAGTAAGTCTAATATGAGATCGAAAGCAAAACTCTCTCTCATCTCATCATTGGATGCATACATACTGTACATACATATCACTTGATAAAGAGATTTTAATGAATTAATGGAGACCTGAATAAAATGGATCGTATGATGAATGGAGAGACACTTAGACTGAGATCCACTGAGAAATCATTACTTAACTCAACTCGAGTTTACTCTTGTTTTATATTATCAATACTACTTTCAATACTCTCTCTCTCTCTCTCTCTCTCTCCCTCTCACTCACTCACTCACTCACTCACTCACACACTCTCATTGCAATTCTCTATCAAAACTTTTTTCACTTTTTCTTTTTCTCATGAAATATCTAAACAAATGCATTGAATGTAATAATAGAAATGTACACCAAATTTACACTTAAACACACATTCAGTGTTGAGTCACTTAATGTGAAGACTATAGCAGTTATGGCTGTTTTGCAAACCTTTTACATTAGAAACAGTCCTTCACTGAAAACATCTAATCCCTCAATACATCCAATACTGTAGTCATCAAAACAAAAGTCATTTCCATTGAGAGACACTTTTTATTGTGTTTTTACTTTAAATGCATTTTAACAAACCTTTTAAAACATTTCACATATCTATATTAGTTTTGAAATAATACAGAAAATTTCTTTGAAAATATAAATTAACTTTTATAAGTTAGTATAGAAATACTTTAAATAAATAATTGTATTTAAATAATCGATTCTTTAATTTAAAATCGTTTAATTTTTTAAAATGAAACAATTTTCCAAATGACTTCATAGTAAAAAGAGTTTACTGTGTATTTCTTTAATTAGTAAACATATTTATATGTAATATGGTATAACAAATGCCAAAATAAATTTACATTAGAGACAAAATATGCTATAATTGTCAGACCAATGTCACGCAAAATATTGTTTGTTTGACTCAAAAATTAATTATATATTATATATTATTTCAAAGCGATTTTTTGCGTGTTTCAGTATTTTTCAGTATATAGTAGAGTATATCTAATAAATTATATAATGACAGAAATTTTAAGTATTAAATAATTTCTCTTTATGACAATTATACAAATATGTTATTCCGGTAAGATTTGAAATATAATACATACTATACAGTACACTATACACTATACAATATTTAAAATTTGAATAATAACATAAATTAGGAAACAATTATTTTAATAGATTTATTGAATCTTTGATTTAATTATTTGTAAATATTTAATACAGATCGTTAGGTAAATTAAAAATATCAATAATTTGCTTGTAGCCAGATATATTTATAATTCTTTATGATATACATTTTGTTAAAAATAAATATCAAATATATACCATAAAATTAATTTTAATTCATTTCAGTTACTTTTATTGACATTCTGTTAAACAATTTTTGATACACATTATCCAGTACACATTATCCAGACGAGTGAGCAAATTGTTATTAACTATTAACCCTTACGAGTCTTAATTGATTTATAGATTGCAATCTCCCTGATAATGGGAATAGTATTTCGGTTTATTACAAACTTTGTTCGCAAAAGTTGTGTCCAAATTGGACGGGTATTTGGATTCTTGTGGCTTATTAGCGAATAGCATCTCCAGAGCACCGCCAGAATCCCATTGGAAATAAAGGGTTGAGTTGAATATGTGATCGCATTTCGCATACCAGACACCGACACCGCATCACACGATACGTGCAATTAGTGAGAGATTTTCGGTCCAAATATCGGCCGAAAGGACTTTACTCTAAATCTTTCGAAAAGCCATAAATAAAAACTAGAGTTGAGTTGACTTTAAAAATTCAGCGATTTTTTCTTGCTTTTAGTTTCTCATCATTATATAAATACATCGAAAATGTTTGCACCAAAAACACAGCCCAAGAGTTCAAAACTGATAGTCGGAGTTGATTTTGATCATAAATCCAATGTTTGGCTTTGGGCTAAAAAGTGAGAAAATTTTTATTGCGGGCCATCCATAAAGTGGAAAACCATAAAAATTGAAGGGATTTCCTCAATGATATATGCAATCAAACTATTGTCAAAATGGACTAAAACCTAAAATACTTTCACAAAAATATCTTTTTATTTATCTTTTGCTCGTCTTTTTCACTGTGCATTCATTTCTTTATTATTCTCACTATTTATAATGACTTTGAAAATAAAAGTTTCGGTCAAAATCGTGTCGTGTCTTACCCTTAGGTCATAACCGGGACCATTGAGTCAACTCGGAAAATTTATGCTAAATTTCCGTTTTTAGTGAACATTGAATAAAATTATAAGACAAAAATTGAAGTGCTTTAGGAAACATATAAAATACGATTTTAATCTTTATTGTATTCAATACACAGAAAATTCATTAAACATTTGCATAAATATATTTTCTCACTGTTTTGCTCTTTCACTCGAAACATACAGAATATACAGAACTAGTAATACAACTATTCTTTAGACATAACTCATATATTTTACAAACACTTGAAATACAATTTTTTAAATCCCTTTAAATTCTATTATTTTTACACTTATCATAACTTATATATTTGAATAAACAAACAGATCATATTATATAATGCTTTATTTGGATTTTTACGTCTATTTATTCAAAGAAAGAAAAAACAATAATAATAAATTACTTTTAAATCCTGTGATTGAATTACAAATACATTTATAATAATGTATGTGTTAACTACCATAAAAAACTTATAAATTATCTAAAAATAAAAATAAAAATAAAATAATCTAATCTAACAATAATTATATACCGTTTAACTTGAATAATATTTATTAGATTTCCTCAATTTTTATTAAATTAATTTATAATTATAAATAAGTATTACAAAAATATATTAATAAATTATTAAAGTTTTAATAACAAAATATTATTTTTCTGTAAACTTACTAGTTAGTTTTAGACACTTTATGTTAAGTTTGTCTGTTTTAGTGCAGAATATTTCTGTTATTTTAATGTTCGCCGAGTTTTCATATATTTGTGTATTTATTATGAGTTTTGGGCTGTTTTTTGACTGTTTTATAAATGAATGGTTGGGTCCAGAGAGCTGTCACGTCGTCTACTTGTGTCTCAATAAGATTTACGACATGTGATCCATAAGCAAAACACAACGGGACGACTGATAGCTTAGAAATCACAGCAATATAACGTTCATCTATCGATACAGTGCCAGAGCGCCAGTGCA